CATTTTTATTTTGTAGTTTTGAAAACACAGATCTCTCCATTTCCAATGCTGGAGAGAATCCTGGTCACAAAAAAAAACATATAAAATAGCAATGTTTTCTTGAAGCTTGCAACTTTTAAAATAACTATCATCCATGAAAAATTCCTAAAACTATGAAAATTGCTGCATGAACCTCATGGTTTCACCCAAAATAAATTGACATATGTGATAATGAAATGTATTATCTAAGAATAATTTAGATAACTTGTCACTATTGTATGATAAAATGATAAATAATAAATATCTGAATACAAAGGTTCACTTTTACCTATAACAACATTGTGAACTCATACAATATTTGTAAGTATTTTGATGTATCTTCTGTTAAATAAAAACCATCCCCCACCTTCTGAAGAACAGTTACATGTCCCAATCTTTGTCCTTGTTTATTTATGCTACATATGTTTTCCTTTTTTTTGTTTATTGACTAAGATAAGGCTTTTGGTTATCTGTTTTGAATTTTGGTTAACCCAGGATCTACTACTACTAGGGGGTGTTTAACAACCTTGACTGGATCTTTTATATACTGTAAATTCAGAAATTATTGCGTGCATTTATTATTGCGATTTTGTCATTTTAGACTAAAATGTGATTTTAATTTTTGCGATATTGAGAAAAATCCTGTTTAATTCATATAAAAAATTTCAAAATGCGAGTTTAAATTATTGCGATTATAACCCTGTTGCATTTTTCGCAATAATAAAAACATCGCAATAATTTCTGAATTTGCAGTAAGGTCTGAGACTCTCTTGACAAAAAACACTCATAATTCATTAACTTTAACAGTACAGTGATCTGTATATATATATATAGATATACCAAATTTTGTCCTTTTGATCTTTTGTGGATATTTTTCTCATTAGAAATCCTACCACATCTTTTTTAGCTCACCTGGCCCTTTTCTCATCACTTGGCGTCCGTCGTCCGTCGTCATCGTCGGCGGCGTCGTTGTTAGCTTTTTACAAAAATCTTCTCCTCTGTAACCACTGGGCCAAATTTAACCAAGCTTGGCCACAATCATCATTAGGGTATCTAGTTTAAAAAATGTGTCCGATGACCCCGCCAACCAACCAAGATGGCCGCCATGGCTAAAAATAGAACATAGGGGTAAAATGTAGGTTTTGGATTATATCTCTCAAACCAAAGCATTTAAAGTAAATCTGACAGGGTAAAACTGATCATCAGGTCAAGATCTATCTGCCCTGAAATTTTCAGACAAATCTGACAACCTGTTGTTGGGTTGCTGCCCCTGAGTTGGTAATTTTAAGGAAATTTTGCAGTTTTTGGTTATTATCTTGAATATTATTATAGATAGAGATAAACTGTAAACAGCAATAATGTTCAGCAAAGTAAGATCTACAAATAAGTTGTCATGACCAAAATTGTCAGTCGACCCCTTTAGGAATTATTGCCCTTAATAGTCAATTTTTAACAATTTTTTGTAAATTTTTGTAATCTTTTACAAAAATCTTCTTCTCTGAAACTACTGAGACAAATTTAACCATACTTGGCCATAATCATTATTAGGGTATCTAGTTTAAAAAATTTGTCCGATGACCCCGCCTTCCAACCATCATGGCCAACTTGGTTAAAAATAGAACATAGGGGTTAAATGCAGTTTTTGGTTTATATCTCTGAAACTAAAGCATTTAGAGCAAATCTGACAGGTGGCAAAAATGTTCATCAGATTTAGATTTATCTGCCCTGAAATTTTCAGATGAATCCGACAACTCGTTGTTGGGTTGCTGCCCCTGAGTTAGTAATTTTACAAAAGTTTGCAGTTTTTGTTATTATCTTAGATATCATTATAATATCTAATATCAAATACTATTAATTATGATTTTAACCTTATTTTACATGATTTCCAAAGCATCAGTAAATACAGGTGAGCGACACAGGCTCTTGAGAGCCTCTAGTTTACATGTAAACAGAAAAAACAAGATAGATAGATGTACAAACAATTAATACTACAACATGTACATACAACTTAAATCTTTCAAAAGTTTTGATATTAAGATTTCTGACACACAAATTTGTCTCTAGATTTAAACAAAAATAATGAAAAAAACACTGATGTTTGTAAAATAATTTTGCAAACTAATCGCAAATGGTAAATAAAGATGCTGGAAAACATTTATATGGGTCACATATCATTTCCCTTAAAGGGAGAGCTGAAATGACGATAGAAAAACTTTTCAAACTTTGTTTAAATAACACTAAAAGATAAACTAGATCAAACAAGAGTATCTGAATGTATGCATAAATGATGACTTGGTCTTTGAAGTCATTACAAACAAATTATTTATCTTCATATTGCTGGTAAATTGTTTTATCAGATATTAGCATATCAAGATGCCATTTTTGTCTTGACAAAGTTGTGTAGGCAATTCTTAGTTATGCTGTTTCTGGTGGCAGGAGTGGGGTCCTCAACAATTTAAGTTTGAGATTAGGTGAGTCAACAATACCATAACAAAGAATGCTCTTAGTTACTGAACACAGGATCAAAGTACTTTACTTGCTGATATGTAATCATGCCATGCTTCAGAAGTGTCCTATGGATTTTTATCATTTGAGTCTTCCAGTTTTTACTTGCTAGAAATGGGTTTTAAAAGGTTGGCTTCTGAGGAGGCATCTGTTGATTCTTCATACTTTTTAATGCTTTTTCGTCTTCCTAATGGTTTCTCAATATATCCTATTGATATTTGATAAGGTATATAAACACAAATTATTGAAGATTTATATCAACAGATTCCTAAGACCAAATGAAATTTTATTACTGAGTTATCTATAAAAACTTGAACTCTGTAGGAACTTTACAAACACAATTGAAAGTGAATAGCTTATTTATGGAAGATATATAACTTATAACAAGGATTTGAGATGATTTGACCACTTCAAAATTAGGTATATTTTTGCCCAAAATTCAGACCAAAAGTAAATGTGTATAATATAAAAACCTGAAAACTGAATCTTGTTACTTTTTGTACTCCATGAGATCTGAGCCTGAAAATCAGTTAAAGGTCAGTTTCTAAAATACTTGTTATTGTTAGTTTTCTTCAGCATTAAAATGTAGAGGAGTGATAAAGTAATGCATCTATAAAGATCTTGTAGCAGTTATTTGAAAGTATCTGAAGTACTTAGTTGGCTCGTTACCTTCCATGTTGATATAATATTATTTTCTCTTCACATTAAGAGTTCTTGCATCAATACTTTAATGGGTCCGTAGGTGGCATGTTTTAAGGCAAAAAATCTGCCTTTATTCAATATACTTTTTTTAGCTCACCTGGCCCAAAGGGCCAAGTGAGTTTTCTCATCACTTGTCATCCCTTGTCGTTAGTTGTCGTCTGTTAACTTGTACAAAAATCTTTTCCTCCAAAACTACTAAGCCAAATTTAACCAAACTTTGAATACATGTATATAAACATATCAATTTTCTACCAATTTAACAAACTAAAGCCTTTTATAGCCAACTTATATGGTATGGGTTTTTCTCATTGTTGAAGGTCGTAAGGTTGCCTATAATTGCTTACATCCACTTCATTTGAACTTTGGTGGATAGTTGTCTCATTAGCAATCATACCTCATCTCCTTATTTTTATATTAAAGGAAGTCATTTATAAATATCAAATTAACCTTGAAAAAAAACATCAAACTGTACCAATGTAAGTGTCACAATAAGATATGAAACACAAAAGTTGGGTTTAATATAAAATTTGCAGCTATACAGAGCACTTACGGAAAGGTGACAAAATGAAGATACAAATAAAAATTGAATTACAATAGTGTGTTTGCTTATTGTCGCGTCTGATAGAATAAGAGATAATGTCTGATGCATAATTTTGAAAATATATTTTTCCTTTTTTAGTATTTTACTGATAGATGGAGTTAGTTTTTTGCAGTAAATACTTTTCATACAATATGGGATTAAAGTTTTTTGACATGATAAATTTGTAAATCTCATGGATTGTTTTAAAACTAGAAAGAAGATCAAAAATGTCATCTGAAAAAAAAAGCTTGATTTTTAAAATTTCATATTTTACTGATAAGTGGACTTACTTTTTACAGTCACATTTTCACTTTTAATTGACAGCAGCAATTGCATGTACATAATTAGTTTTTTTCTCTATCTTTCATTTATTGAAATAAAAAATTCATCAGATATAGAAAGAAATTAAGGCATTTTAATTAAAGTTTGTATAGAAATGCTGATAATATGTAACTGTTATTGTGAAATGTTACATTATGACAGTGACCCATTATAATTTCTTGGTAAAGAAAACATTTAAAACTATTATATTGTAAATTTATATTTATTAACCACTCCAAAATAAATTTTAATACTAATCTTGCTTTTAAAATTAATATTCTTTTAAACTGATAACAAGTCCTCTAACAACACACTTTTTATTTTGACTTCTCCATATATATTAGATAGTTTGTCTTCTTTCTCACGTTGTCTCACTGTGACTGGTGTGCTTGTGGATTTTTTTTATATAAGTTGTTGTCTGAATCTTCTTCATTGCATCTATATAAATAAAAAATTCTTACTTTACCTGAAAAAATGGTGCAAATTAAATTTTTATTCATTTGCCTAACTGAAAAATAAACTTTAGACACAAATGAAAGTCTGCATTTTTTAAGAATTGGCACAAATTCAATGGTCCCATATAATTTAGTTCTATTTGAAATTGTAATTGAACTGACCAGATTCAAGAAAATAATTAAACACTTTGTTTAGTTTGGTTTAAGATATCAGAATTCAGTCAAACATATTTGTCATCAAGGGAGGGCGGGGGTGGGTGGACTGATGAGTTTGACTTGCATTGGCCCTTATTTTGCAAAATTTCATAAAAAACTTCATATTTCATTGTAAAGTATTTGATGACATCACACTCTTGTGGAACAGCAGATTGAATATCTTTTATTTTTTAGTTTGAAATTTTTCAATTTTTTATTTCAAGCAAGGAAACCAAAGCACTTCAACTAAGTTTCCCAATGTATACAGGAGAAATTCCCTAAAGGAAACAAGTAAACCAGAAAAGCTACCAGTCAACAAACCAGTACAAAGAAATATGTCTGCAAGAATTCCCAGTAAAGAAGGGGAAGTCAGTAAGTCTACACCTAACTTGAAAACTTCTACAAATAAGCCAGTGTTTCTGAAAACTTTAACTGATGTAAATGCTTCAAACTTAGAAGTAAAAAAGTTCAATGGAATTCCTAGTAACACCTCAGAAAAGAAACCAATGCAAGTATTTCAAAATGGAACTGTTCATGATAATGATCTGAAAAAGAAAACAAATTCAATGGACAAGAAGCAACAGTCTGTAAAAAGTACGGCAACATTTAATATGCAGAAAAGCAAGTCAAATGAGTTTCTTCATAGCATTTCATCTCCTAGAAATGAAAAGGAAAAGAGTGATTTTGATTCAGCAAATAAACCAGCCCCAAATTTCAATGTTATATTGAGGAAGACTAATAGAAGTTTAGTTGATAATGAAGAACAAGAGAATAATTTTAGGCATTCTGTAGATCTGGATTTAAGAGGATCTTCAAAATCTCCAGTCTCAAACCTTTCAAATAACAGTTCTGACTCAGAAACAAGAAAAATTAAAGTCTCATCTACACAACAACAAAAAGCAGACGGCAAGTTAGCATTTGAAAAAAAAGAATCCAATACAGTTGAGTCATTGCAAAAAGAAATTTTGAAACAAAAACAAAATAATACAACAAAAAATGTGGAATTAAAACAGGCAAAGGAAACACAAAATACATCAAAAAATGTTGAAGTAAAACAGGCGAAGGAAACACAAAATACACCAAAAAATGTGGAAGTCAAACAGATGAAGGAAACACAAAACAAACCAACTGTGAAGAGTTCTGTACAGTTTCGTCCTACTACAGCAATTGAAGCTAAAGCAGTTTCTACTGGGGAAAGACAAAATCTACTTCAGCAAATCCAAAACTTTAAAAGAAAGCCACATCCTGAGGAAGAAGGAAAAACAGATGTTAAAGAACAAGATGGAAAAACCCAAGTACCTGATATTATAAAAAGTAGCATCAAGAAAGGTAAATATATACAATAGAAATAGTTTGATTATTCTTGATATCAAATATAATTTGAGTTGTTAATGAGAACACTATTTTTCTCTGCCTCACGAGCCATTTAAGCTATTTTTCTAGATTTTTCGCTGTACTGCAGTTCCTATTGTCTCTCTGTGATTTGTTTGTACCCTTCCCCGAAAAAGAATGGGGAATATGGAAATGCTGATGTCAATCCCTTACACCTTCCATCTGTTCATCCATCCATTTTTCTGTGCATTCTTCCATGTGTTTGTTTGTCAGTCCATTCCACATTATTAGTACTTTCACACATACATGTTTCATCAGATGTTAATAAGACTTTATGTTAAAGATTTAAATCAGCAATATTTCAAATTCATTGAAAGATCAAAGCCAATACATTATATTTGGGGAGTAATGCACCTTGGGGTGTAAATAAAATGGAAATTAACTTTGTAATTGCCCTCATGCCATCATTTCTTTTGAATTACAGTTCAATGAAAATTATAATATGTCAAGGGTGAAGATCAGTAATATCCCAGATTAGTTCAAAATCAGGGCTTATCAATTTATTGGGGACCATATTGGTCCCTCTGAAATGTAATCATAAAAAAGCAACATTTTCTAATGTTCTCAAGCACTCATAAATTTCTCATCAGAGGTTAGTGAAATTTATATCAAAGAGTTACATCAGCTATCTTACTTGGACAAGTTTGAAAATCAGTGCTGATAGAATATTGCTGGGTAGTCCAAGTTAATGCCTCTTTGAAATGTACAATTACATGTATAAATATAATGGAGAATTAGCACGGTAAGCATTCTAGTGCTAGTATTTCTTATTGAATTTTAAGAAAATTAAAGTCAAAGGTTCACATCAGCAATATCTTTGATGTGTATGAAAATCAATTTTTTGGGGAACTTATGTCCCTTAGGAATGTAGTTAATATATAAAATGAACTCTGAGTACTCTCACACCTATGTTTCTCATAAGAGTTTTATGAAGTTTATGTCAACAATATGTTGAATGAGTTTGAAATTCAGAGTGGATAATATTTTCTAGGAGAGAGATATGCCCCTTGGAAATATAAAAAGTAAGGAAAATCTACATCGTAAAACAATATTTCTCATTGAAGTTTAATGAAATTTATGTCAAAGGTTCACATCAGCTATATACATGTACATGTATCTCAGATTATTTAGTAAAAAAAATAGTGCTTATTAAATATATTTGTGGGAGTTACATGTACATGATGTATGACTCCGAAATATATATGTAAATATTATGATAAATGAGCATTGTAAGCACTCATGCAGGCATGATGCAGCTACATTTCTCATTCATTTGTCATTGGAGTTTAATTAAATTTATGTCAAAGGTTTGTACATCAGCAATGTCTCAAACAAAAATAAAAATCAGCTGAATCAATTATTTTTTTACAGGAGATATAAACTTCGGAAATAAAAGTGAAATAGAATATTCCAGTATGTCAATGAGGAAATTTGCTACTCTGTAAACGTTTCTATTTATATTTTGGCATGCTTATATGACTTGATCATTCAAGTAAATCTCTTATTGAATAATTTAAGGAGAGTTACCATTGACAACTTATTCACTTCCCATTTTCATATTTAAGAAGGAACCAATTGATTAAGATATTTTCTTCCTCTTGTAATGTCAACACTTTCTGTTAAACAGTCATTTATTAAATGTACTTTGTTTGGAACTAATTAGGCAAGTTGAAAACATAATCATCATAATGTGTCTAGTTAAAAAGATATTGTTTATGATGCTACTTTTCACTTGAGAACATAGATGTGGATTTACCAGGACTATGGAAACACCCCCCCCCCCCCTTTTTCTCATGGGTCTTTAAAAAGTGTCCTGTGAATTCATGACAACTAATATGAAGATCATAATTCTCATGGTTGGAAGCAAGATCAGGTCCTAAACAGCCACTTCATCTCATTCATAGTTTGTAGCAATGATAAAATATTTCTTTTGTCTTTGAAATTTTCTGCATTTGTATTCTGTTCAGTTTGTTTTCATTGTGACTTCCTGTACTGTTTATGATGTTTCTGTCTTAAAAACTTCAAAGAAGTACAACAACAGATATAAATGTATTGGATGGAATGATTTCTTATAAACAGGTTAAATACTTTGAGCTTGTTCTTTTTCTATTTAATTTATACCCAGCTTTTAAAGACTTGGCACAATTGAATATAAAGTTTGACATATTGCAAAGGCACCTGTCTATTTTTTGCACACCTGGCCCGAAGGGCCAAGTGAGCTTTTCTCATCACTTGGCATCCGTCGTCCGTCGTCGTTAACTTTTTACAAAAATCTTCTCCTCTGAAACACTGGGCCAAATTTAACCAAACTTGGCCACAATCATCATTAGGGTATCTAGTTTAAAAAATTCGTAAGGGTTCCGCGGAACCCAGTGTCTCGCCTACTTTTGCTGTTAATCGCAGGCTCAACAAAAATGAGGAAAAAAAATAATAAAAATATTCCTCTCTATACTATCTTTTGATTGTAAGTAGCTTCTGTCCAAGTTTGGTAAAAATCCAGGATAGTTTATCAATCTAATAAATGTTTTAAAAACTTAAATTGCAGACTGTATGTAATGTTAACTGGAAGAAAAACTAAGTCCATGGAATTTATTTTTTACTTTTTTACAAAATTTACTTCTGGATACTATCTTTTGATCATAAACAAGGTTCTTTCCAAGTTTGGTACAAATCCAGGATAGTTTAAGAAAGTTATTAAAATTTCAAAAACTTTAACCACAGAGTGAATGTAATGTTTCATGGCAGAAAAACTAAGTCCATTTATAAGTAAAATACAGAAAAAATGGAATTTTTTTTTACAAAATTTACTTCTGGATACTATCTTTTGATCATAAACAAGCTTCTTTCCAAGTTTGGTAGAAATCCAGGATAGTTTAAGAAAGTTATTAAAATTTCAAAAACTTTAACCACAGAGTGAATGTAATGTTTCTTGGCAGAAAAACTAAGTCCATTTATAAGAAAAATACGGAAAAAATGGAATTTTTTTTTTTACAAAATTTACTTTTGAATATTATCTTATGATCATAAACAAGCTTCTGTCCAAGTTTGGTAGAAATCCAGGATAGTTTAAGAAAGTTATTAAAATTTCAAAAACTTTAACCACAGAGTGAATGTTATGTTTCTTAGCAGAAAAACTAAGTCCATTTATAAGTAAAATACGGAAAAATTGGAATTTTTTTTTTACAAAATTTACTTTTGAATATTATCTTATGATCATAAACAAGCTTCTGTCCAAGTTTGGTAGAAATCCAGGATAGTTTAAGAAAGTTATTAAAATTTCAAAAACTTTAACCACAGAGTGAATATTTGTGGACGCCGCCGCCGACGACGACGACGCCGACGCCGACGGAATGTAGGATCGCTATGTCTCGCTTTTTCGACAAAAGTCGAAGGCTCGACAAAAATGTGTCCGATGACCCCGCCAACCAACCAAGATGGCCGCCATGGCTAAAAATAGAACATATGGGTAAAATGAAGATTTTGGCTTATATCTCTGAAACCAAAGCATTAAGAGTAAATCTGACACAGGGTAAAACTGATTATCAAGTCAAGATCTATCTGCCCTGAAATTTTCAGACAAATCTGACAACCTGTTGTTGGGTTGCTGCCCCTGAATTGGTAATTTTAAGGAAATTTTGCAGTTTTTGGTTATTATCTTGAATATTATTATAGATAGAGATAAACTGTAAACAGCAATAATGTTCAGCAAAGTAAGATCTACAAATAAGTTGTCATGACCAAAATTGTCAGTCGACCCCTTTAGGAATTATTGTCCTTAATAGTCAATTTTTAACAATTTTTTGTAAATTTTTGTAATCTTTTACAAAAATCTTCTTCTCTGAAACTACTGAGACAAATTTAACCATACTTGGCCATAATCATTATTAGGGTATCTAGTTTGAAAAATTTGTCCGATGACCCCGCCTTCCAACCATCATGGCGGACTTGGTTAAAAATAGAACATAGGGGTTAAATGCAGTTTTTGGTTTATATCTCTGAAACTAAAGCATTTAGAGCAAATCTGACAGGTGGCAAAAATGTTCATCAGATTTTGATTTATCTGCCCTGAAATTTTCAGATGAATCCGACAACCCGTTGTTGGGTTGCTGCCCCTGAGTTAGTAATTTTACAAAAATTTTGCAGTTTTTTGTTATTATCTTAGATATTATTATAATATCTAATATCTAATTCTATTAATTATGATTTTACATGATTTTCAAAGCATCAGTAAATCCAGGTGAGCGACACAGGCCTTTGAGAGCCTCTAGTTAAAGACTGTCTTTGGTTGTTCTTGTGATGGTTGCTTTCTCATTGGAGTATTTCCTACATCTCTTTATATTCATATCTAAATATAGCAGTATATAATTTTAAAGTCTAAAAAAAGTATTTAACTATATAATTATGGTACATTGCTCATAGTATTGTAATAACAATTATTTTCTGAATGGAAAGTTCAGTATCAATTTTACTTTTAAATTGTCAATTGAAGTAGTTTAATGGTCATTTAAATCTTTGAACCTTTTGAACTGGACTCCTACTCAATTAAATTTTTTTGTTCACATTCTTATACATGTGTAATTATGACATGTTGTTAAATCACTCAAGAATGATTAGGACACTGAAAGTAAATTATTGGGAAAGAAAGATAATTTAAAACATTTAAATGCATATAGCGTGGGTGAACAAAGGGATGGTCCTTATTTGTTTATCAAGTTTCCAATTCCTTGTTACATGTACCTAATGTTTCATACTGGCTTGATTACACAATAGATATATCCCCATTCCCACAATACTATGAAAATTATATCATGATAATAAAACATTACTTAAAAAGGCTTATTTCTTTTGTTATAGTGGCATCTTCAATATTGAATTTTATATGTAAATATATTGGTTTTTTTCCCCAAAAATTATCTATAGAAACTTTTCATGTATAT